GCCTGTTGTTCCACCCCCAAGCCCTCCCCCCACTAAGCTTCCCTCTTCCTCGTGCCCCCCCCCCCCCCCATCCTGCAGCCAGGAGCCCCTCCCCACGCTGGGCCATACAAAGACGTGTCTGGGGATTTCATGTTGCGGGTTCTAGTCCCTGTTCCCATGGCTGCCGGGCACAGTTAAGGGGGTGGCTGCCCGGTGGGAGGCAGAGTTAAGGGGGGGAATGTGCCAGCTGAATTCTGCTGCTGGCAACCTGGAAAGGGGGTTGGAAAAGGTGAGGTGGGGGCTCTGGAAAACAGCGAGCCCCTGCCCCTCCGGGGGGGCTGGGAGAGGTAGCTTCAGCCGCAGCCCATGGACGCAGGCATCCCTCTAGAACTCACCCGTGCAGATCTAGAACCGGGGAGTGGGTCTAGAGCACGAGCGTTAAACACGCGGCGTTGATCTGGAACCCAGCAGGGCGAATTCCGCTCCTGGCTCTGGAACACACGGGATTTCTCTAGAGCCCCAGTCCCCTGCTGCCCAAACCAACTGGCCCTGGATTTCCTAAAAACTAGAGCTGACAATCTGCTAACTGGACGTGGTGCCTCCCCCAAGGGCCGGTCCTAGGGGAGCCAAATAAAGAGGAACAGGATCACCAAACTCCGCTGTGTCAGTAGCACAACTGAGGGCGAGGCCATCACATTTCTAACCTGCAAGCTGAGTCAAGTCCAGCCCAGGCCCGGCTGGGGCTGATTTCACAAAGCCAGAAACAAGTCTGAGGCAAAGCAGCTAGGAGGAAAGTTTCAAACAGAAACAGAGAATTGTTCAAGAACATTTAACAGGGATGTCCAAAAAGCCAGGAGTGAGGAAGAAGGCTGGGCGGGTTTTAAAAAAATAAAACAGCCTAATTGAAAGGGGAGGCAAAAGCAGTTATGAAAAAGTATAACAAATGGAAGCAAGGGGTAGTTGCTAAAAATAATCCGCATTAGGAATTGTAGAACATTGATAAGGGAAGGAAAAGGACACCAGGAGACATCTAGGGCCAGCATAATTAAGGACACTGAAGGAGTAATTTTAAGTATATTAGTGGTATTGGTCCAGTACTAGATGAACACATTAGAATAGCAATAATAATGCAGAAGACAGAATTGTTCAATATTTCTGATCTGTATTTGAGTAAAAAAAAAAATGTAGTCATAATCCATCATAACACTTTCCATTCCACTAGTATCTCACGAGGCTGGTGAACAGCAGCGACTGAAGTGAGATATTTTGAAATCGGCAGGTCCAGGTATCTTCCATCCAAGAGTTTTAAAAGAGCTGGCCGAGGAGCTCGCTGGACCATTAATGTTGCTTGTTCCCAATGTCTCTCCACCCTGGGGAAGGGCCGGAAGACAGGAAGAAAGCCGCTGTTGTGCTAATATTTGAAAAGGGTAAAGGGGCTGACCCGGGCAATTCAACCCAGACACTGAGCTGGTTAATAAAGAATGACAGGTGGGGGGTGTCAGTAATGCCAATCACGCTGGGTTTATGAAAACCAGCTCCCGTCTGACGGGTGCAGAGGTAATTGTGCTGAGGTGTTTGCCTTGGTACCACAGGGACGGTTTGATTAAAAACGAGACCCTATAAAATAAGGTGGGGCATGTTCAAACGGCTTAAACACGGGCTGCGCCGGCCCCCAAGTGAGTTCTGGGCGTCCCGCAGGGAGCTGTTCTCGGCCCTGCGCCGGGCACCGTTTTTACCAAGGAGCTGGACGAAAACACGAAACCAGCCCCGCTAAAGGCTGCGGATGACCCCAAACTTGGGAGGGGCCTAGAGCGACCCGGATCAGCAGGGCCCGGCCCCCAGCGTGTTTTAACGCGGCTCCATGGCCGGGTGAAGCAGCCGAACCCGAGCTCCCAGGGGGCTGCGCAGACAAGGGCGTCTCGCGGAGCAGCGATTGCAGCACCGGCTGGATCCCGGGGCCCCACTTCCAGGAGGCCGGGGATGAGTCCAGAGGGTTCCCAGAAAACCTGCCTTAAAGCGATGCCAAGAGCCCAGCTCGGCTGTTCCCCCAGGGCAGGTGCAGGGGGGGCTGAGACCAGCAGCAGGTCCCTAGAGGGGGCGACAAATCTGGGCCCGTAGGCTCAAAGCCTGGCAGAGGGAGGGCAGCCGTGGGGCAGACTGGGAAGGGGGATTCCCACATGGGGCCTTCGGGGCTGAGAATCAGTGATCCCCCCCACCCACATGGGGGCAGCCCCTGGTCCTTGTGGGGCACCGTAACACCCTGGGGTGCTCAGCTTACATGGGAAACACCCACAGCCTCGATCCACCGCACCCCCCAGCCGGGCTTTGAGCCGCAGGGACACGTGACCCAGGACCAGCCGTGCCCCCCACGACAGGCCACTCCCGACACCCCCCCCCCCCCCCCCCCCCCCCCGGACACGGGGCCCCCCCCCGGCCCCCCCCCCCCCCCCCCCCCGGCCCGGGCCCGGGGCCCCCCCGGGGCCGGGGGGGGGGGGGGGGGGGGCGGCCCGGGGGGGGGGGACACCCAAGATGTCAGGGTGGGGGTGGAGAATCAGGCTGAGGGCAGCCCCCACCAAAGGCTATTTTTCTAGCAGGGGGAGGGAACAGAAGGGGAGATAGCCAGTACATCCACAGGGGATTGGGGGGTGTCCAGGAAACCCCTGCCCCAAAGATGCCAAATCTGCCACCTCCACTCCAGGTGAGACCCCCACTCCCTGGATGACTGGCCACAGGGGGCAACAGAGCCCAGCTCGAAGCCACGCCCCCATGGGGCTCCCCAACCACTCCACAGCTGCCACTTAGCACGTTGGGGGGCGGGATGAAGCCAGGACTCCAGGGTTCTCCGCCCAGCCCTGGGAGCGAGGCGGGGTGGGGTAGGAGGAACCAGGACTCCTGGGTTCTATCCCCAGCTCTGCTATCTGCGGCCATACAGCTCCTGGTGTCACCCCGGCCAGGGGAGCTCCCCACCTCCTCAACCCAGAGGCTTCTGGGTGCCAGGACAGGACCGAGGGGAGGCTGGGGGGGGCCTACGGAGAGCAGGGGGCCCCACCGCAGGCAGGGTTTTTGGGGTACAGAGCAGCAGGAGCCAGTTTAGGCGTGCCAGGCCCACCCTACCCAGGAAGCCACGGGGGGGCACAGTTTGGGGGCCCCCCACCCTCCCCAGGCAGCCGGGGGCCCCGTTTCATCTCTTTATTTTCTCATGAATGTAGCCATATAAAAACATAACTTATGAAACAGTCACGATGTGTCAACCGGGAAGGGGTAAAAAGGGGGGGGGACAGAACCGTCAGCAAAACACAAACTGGGGACCCTCCCCATAGCCCCCCCGACCTGCCCTCCCCCAGCTAAAAAACAGGGCAGCCCCCCCCCCAGAGTAGAGGGACTCAGCCGTGCCCCGGAGCCCCTTGTGGGTGTCCCGGGGTGGGAGGGGGGGGTAGTGAGGTACTTAGTTACTGGGGGGGGTCGCTGGTTTAAAAGCAGACGGGAGGGAGGGGTGGGGGGGGGCCCAGGGCGGAGGGAGACAGTGTCACACTCCCTCCTCCCCCCCCCAAGGGCCACGCAGGGAGGGGGGAGTCAGTGGCAGCTCTGCGCCCCCCTGGCCATGAGAAGGGCCCCAGGCGCCCGCGGCTCTGGGCCTGCCACGGAGGGGCACACAGCGCGATGGGGGGGGACATGGGGGGCTAGCGCATGCGGTAATCCGTGGAGCAGGACAGTTCACACAGCTGGCCCTTGAAGTCCAGGTCGATGGTGAAGTCCAGGTCCCGCTGCAGGGGAGAGATGGGAGGGGGTCAGTCACGGGGGTCTGGCCCACCACTCCCAGCATGCACTGCACCAGTCCCTGCCCCCCAGCCCCCTCTCTGCTTCACAATCCAGCAGTGGGGAGTTCCACAGGGCAGTGCCCCTTGGAGGACCACCGCGAGGCCAATACCCAGCTCTCCAGAACCCCAGAGAAGGGGGTGGCTCTCCACCCCCCCAACCCAGATGTGGGCACCCCCCGCCGGTGCCCCCCAGCCCGTCACTCACGTTGTTCTTGGCATTGGGCTTCATGCTGATGGTGCCGAAGATCTCCTCGCCTGTCTTCACCGTCAGGTAGTCCTCCATGTAGAACACCGTCTGCTTCCAGTGGGTGTAGGGCGACTCGGGGCCGGGGGGGGGGGAAGGGTGCCGGGGGGTGGGGGCTGGGGCCAGCCCCACCCATCACCTAGAGTCCCACCCCCTGGCCCCGCCCCACATCCCATTCCCAGCCCCGCCCCCAGTTCCCAGCACCACCCCCACCTAGTTCCATCCTCTGGTCCCTCCCCAAGCCCCACCCCTCCCCCGCATCCCATCCCTTGGCTCCACCCCCTCCCCCAGCATCCCCTCCCCTGGTCCCGCCCCCTCGTACTGGTGGAGAAGCCCGTGCGCTTGTGGCAGCGGGTGAACTCGATGTTGAAATACGCTACGAGCGCGTGGATGTAGTCGTTGCGTTTCACTTGGAGGCAGAAGGGCGAGGTGAACGTCAGGTCCTCCACCTTCACCGTGTAGATGTCCACTTCCTGCGGGAGAGCGGGGTCAGCGCTGCCCCCACACACTCACACACACCGCTGCCCACTCCCCAGAGACGCAGAACAGACACCATTCCCACCCCCAACGCCGGGCCCTGGGCGGAGGGGGACTCCGTCCCAGTGCCATCCAGTGGCAGGGAGTTCCGCAGGCTGGGACTGCGTCTCCTGGCATCCACCCCCTTGCACATTTCCCTGACGGCCCCCCCCGGCAAGGGCAGCCCCCCATCCCGAGCCAGCCCCACTGGCCCCCCCTCCGGGCTGCACCTTGATGAGGCAGGCGTTGGTGACCAGCTGCTTTGGATCCACTACGTCCACCAGCGGCTCCTTGATGGCCACGTCCTTGATGCAGGACATGTCGAAGCCGTAGACGTTCTCCCACCCTGGGGGATGAGACGTTATCGGATTAGAGGAGGGACCACGCCGTGGCTATAACGGCAACGAATCTTAGACACAGGGTTAAGCCCCCTGCAGGATAAATGACCCAAATTCAACCTTAGGAAAGCGTGTAGCCGGTAATTAGGGCCATTCCATGCTAGATAGGCTCCAACTTGGACTGCAAACCTGGGTTGTTAGCGAATTGGAGGCGATACGAATTGTGTGTTTACACTTGTATCTGATTAGATGTTAGCCACGTAAACAGACGGCTCCTGTCTGTCACTACGGCGGTTGATTCAGAGATCAAAAGGGAATATTAACATTTAGATGAATCCAGGGGTGAAATCATTGTCTATACGTCTCTTTAAAGTCAATGATCAACTGCCTAATGGATCAACTGCCTTATGTTAATCGGTGTCGCTAATTACCGGGGGAAACAGGGCTACCGCAAAGTCTCCATGATTGCCTCTTGTTCGCCTAGGGACTAAAAACTCCTTGTGTCCTGATCTTTTTCTCTCAGACTTGCTTGATGCTTCCTGCAGGGGAACCTTTAACCACCACCCAGATCTCCGGTCCCACCGGGATCACACTGAATATGGACATTGGACTATAACCTACCAAGCGCCTCACCTCTGCTACGAATCTGATCTCAGCGCTGTGCTCACGTGCACTGACCTTTTAACAAATTCTCTCTTCTTTAAGAAATGTTCGTTTTGTTACTGAGGACTGGCTGGAAGCGCGTATGTGGGCAGGATCTGGTATTGTCATTAACCAGGGAGGTGATGTGTCTGATCCTTTGGGGTTGGTAGAACTTTCTTATGTGATGAATAAGATTTTCCGCGATCCCCAGCAAACCTGCCGTGGGTGTCTGGGGGGAGGCCTGAGGCTCCATTGCTTTAACCCAGGGGTGTTCAAACTGTTTTCTGGCGACTCAGTTGAAGAAAACTGTTGACACCCATGACCCCACGTAGCTGGGCTCTGGGTCAGGGCTCTGGGCTGTGGGGTGCAGGCCCTGGGGTGGGACTGGGGAAGAGGAGTTTGGGGTGCAGGGGGGGCTCTGGGTTGGAGCACGGGGTCAGGGCTCTGGGCTGGGGGTGCCGGCTCTGGGATGGGACTGGGGATGAGGAGTTTGGGGTGCAGGAGGGGGCTGTGGGTTTGGGGGGACTCAGGGCTGGGGGTTACCTCGGGCAGCTCCCAGTAAGCGGCGTAGCGGGGTGCTAAGGGAGGCTTCCTGCCTCTCCTGGCATCACGGACCGCGCTGCGCCCCCGAAGCAGCCAGCAACAGGTCCAGCTCCTAGGCGGAAGTGTGCAAATGGCTCTCGCCCGCAGGAACCACCCCCAGCTCTCATTGGCTGACAACTGGCCAATGGGAGAGCGGAGCCGGTGCTCGAGGCGGGGGGCAGCACACAGAGCCCCGTGGCCCCCCCGCCTAGGAGCCGGACCCGCTGCTGTCCACTTCCGGGGCGCAGTGCGGTGTCAGAACAGGTCGGGACTAGCCTGCCTGAGCAGGGCAGCTGACCAGAGCCGTCGCGTCCCAGCGCCTTCCACTCCCTGTCCTGGGTCGCGACCCACGGTTTGAAAACCGCTGGGCTAAGGGAACCGTGTCGTTGGCCTCCAGGTAGCCAGGGAGGTGTAACAGAAGCTGCGGTGGGCTGGTTGGTAAATCCAAGTATTGGAAGATCCACCAGCTTTGGGGACCGTCCGCCCCATTCTTTGGGGTTCACCCTGAGGAACCTCAGCGGGGCTCCCCTGGGATCCCCGTCACCGGGGGGAGCCGCAGTCAGACCCCGCGGGCGGGCGGAGCGAGAGACCGGGCCACACCAAGCACCCCCTCGGCCCCCCCAGACGCCCCGAGTTCACCCCCCCCGCCGGCAGGCAGGGAGAGCCACCAGGACCGGCGCCCTGAGGACACTGAGCCGCCCCCCAAGAGAAGGGCTACAGCCCCCCCACTCACAGTGGATCTTGTAGTCCTTGTACTGCCGGTCCTCAATGGCCGTGACGTACAGGGTGGCCCGGTCAGGGAAGATGAGTCCGTCGGGGGTCTGGGGAGACAGACAGGGGGAGGGGGCGGGGGGGTCACTGCGTGTCAGCCCCTAAAATCCCCAACGTTTCCCCCACCCCCACAGCACCTAGACACAGGGTCCCCAGAACAGAACACGGGGCCTTTCCCCTCTAGGGGGCGCCAGGTCCCATCCGGCCCCAGGGCGGGGACTGGCTGGCTCAGGGGTCCAGGGAATGGGGCAGGGACCTGTTCCCTCTAGGGGGCGCTGGCTCCCATCCGGCCTCAGGGCAGGGACTGGCTGGCTCAGGGGTCCAGGGAATGGGGCAGGGGCCTGTCCCCTC